AGACCTCTGCTGTCTCTGCATGGGGATGGCCCGCCTGTACTTGTGCAGTGGATAAATTGCACAACAGTATATAGTAGCCCTACATTTGAGGAACATTTTTTCAGAATTATATTTCAATACACAATATTATAACATTAAGAAAATTTTTCAAGAAAATACTTTTTACACATAATTAAGATTGATCTAAATTCCTTAACGTGACCTAAGATGATTATTCCAACATATTATTTATTTTTAAATTTTCAAAGTTCCCTTTTAAGTCTCTACCAATATGCACATAGATCTTAAGAAATTGTGGTAATGGCAGTCGGCACGCTATTTGCTACTCTGATTTTCCCATTTAAAATAATAGAAATAACGTGTTCTTACATTGCTGTCTTTCAGTGATGTATCATGTAGTTTTATATCAAGTGGACATATCAATGAGTTTAAGCATACTTCTGTCATCTGAGAAACTTTAATCAGTGTTATGATTGGTATTATTCTACACATGGAAGAAAAGGGTTATATTTAGAGAAAAAAAAACTTTTAGAGAAAGGAGTTATTTAGACAGTATAAACAGGTAAAATAATAAATATCCTTTCAAAAGTCATACCAGGATGAGTACATTATTGGAATATGCTTAATAAATAGTTTAATTTGTATCTGTATATTTTTGTTTAAGATCCTAGTCCCCCATTTGTGTTTATACTGTAATAAACCATTTTAGAATAAAAATTCCAGAGGTACATTTTACATAACACAGAGCAATGGGATATACCACAGAGAAGCAACAGGGAATAGCGAAAAACATATGGATTTTGGAATCAGATGGACATAGACTGCTGTGCTTTGAAATGCTACGTTCTGCAAAAAGACTTGTACAATAATGCGTATAACAGCTTTATTTATAATAGCCCAAATAAAACAGTCCAGGTGTCCATGAATAGGAAAACGGGTAAAGAAACCATGATCTATTCACTGATGGAATACTATTTAGATTTAAGTAGAATGAACTATTAATACACACAAAATCATGGCTGAATCTCAAAATTACGCTCAGTGAAAGAAGCTTACACAAGAGCACACGCTGGGATTCCATTGTATGACGAGCTAGGACAGGCAGAGGTGCCACGTGGAAACTCATCAGGACACTGGTGCTTCTAGCGGTGACGGTGAAAATTTACTCAGAAGACACATAGAGAAACTTTCTGGAATGACAGTCATATTCTGTAACTTAATAGGGATTTGGATGGTATATAGATATGTGCTTTTCTGAACCCATATCATCCCCTTTGGATTTGTGCACTTCATTGTACATAAAATGTCTCAAAGGAAAAAGAAGAACCTAAACAAATATTGAACTCCAGTTGATGATACACACACCAAAGTATTTCAATTGACTTTGACAGCATAAAAAGTAAGATGGATCAATGGATGGATAGAGGGGTTGCTGTACAGATGGCTGGGTGAAGAGCATGCATAGTAAAATGTTGATTATAGAATCTAAGTTTTCCTTAAGATTGAAAATGTTCATGCTAAACATTGGAAAGCGGATTTTGATCTGAGACATGTTCCATAAACTTCTAAGTTTCAATTTCTGCAAAATGGAAGTAACAGTATTTACTTTACAAAGTTGTGAAGTTTAAGAAAAATTGCCACCAAAATAGGCCTGGGACACAAAGGTTCACATGCTGTGTGATGCTGCTTGCTTTCTCTGTCATCCCCTCTCACCTGTCTTGTCAATTTATAAGTGATGATAGGTATTTCTGGATTTGCTAGATTGCCTATGAACAAGTGGTCTAAGATGGTATGTAGCAAAATTAACGGGGTAATGGGCAATGAACTATCTGCTGATTATATATCACTTGAGTGGAGGACTAGCTTTTTTTTTTTAATCCTCACCCGAGGGCATTTTTTCGTGTTTTGTTTTGTTCAGATAGAGTGGGAGGGAGAGAGCGCGAGAGAAAGGGAGAAATATCGACGTGAAAGGGACACCCAGGGTCGGGGACAAACTGTGACCGAGGTATGTGCCCTTAGCGGGAACCGAACCCGGGTCTCTCTGGACAGCAGGCTGACGCTCTAACCGCTGAGCCAAACCGGCCAGGGTGAGGAATACCTTTTAATGATGGTAGTGGCTCAGACTCCATGGAGGAGGGACAGCCTGTGGTGACACTTATTCTAAAGGAATTGACAGGAAGGAGAGAGAAAGAACAAAGCATCGTTAGCAATCCTCATATGGGTTTTGATATTAAAAAACTAAATAGCCCTGGCCGGTTTGGCTCAGCGGTTAGAGCGTCGGCCTGCGGTTCAGAGAGACCCGGGTTCGGTTCCCACTAAGGGCACGTACCTCGGTTGCAGTTTGTCCCCGGCCCTGGTTGGGTCGTGCGAGTGGCAACCACTCAATGTGTCCCTTTCACGTCAATGTTTCTCTCTCTCTCTCCCTCCCACTCTATCTGATCAAAAAGCAAAAAAAATGTCCTCGGAAGAAGATTTAAAAAAAACAACAACTAAATAGTTCTTCAGCTCACTAATGGCTCCATTGTGAGGGCTCATTTACTTAAATATTTATTGATGGTCTGCTACCTGCCTGGCATTGTGCTCAGAGATGGGGAGAGAGACGGATGAGTGCATGAGACAGACATGTGCCTACCCTCTCAGAGCTTACATCCTGGTAATGCGGATTTAAAGGGACCAGTTTTTTAGCCAGCAAATATTTACTGAGTATTTATTTCGTGCCCAGCACTTGGAATATCATAATAAGTCAAATAGACATAGTCCACACACTCATGAATCTTACTATCTAGCAGATCAGGCAGATTTAATAAAATCTTTGTGTGTAACTATAATAAATACATTATAAGTGTGTAAAATAATGTGAAGGGGAAGTGTAGGGTTCTTAAGCAGATTTAGGCAGGAGATTTAGGCAGGCTCTAGGCTGGGTAAAAATAATTTTCTCCCTAAACTTTTTTTCTGAGTTAAGAGAGTAAAGTCAGCACAGAGCAGAGATTGGGATGGGCAGTGGCCCATGTCAAGCCAACAATGGAACTGGTGCACCAAGAGGCGTTGTGGTCAGCCTCAGTTTGCTTAGTCCTTTGATTTCTTGTTGGCTTATGACTTAGGAGTTCCTGTATGGTTGAGCTATAAACAGTGAAGTGGGAACTGTTGAATTACTTTTAGCCATTATAAGGAATTCTGGAATTAGGTTTATCTTTTGCCTAGTCAAAGATTATAGCAAACACCCCAATAGTTCCATGGTGCCAAAAAGCTGCTGGAGACACAGAGCTGGAATTAAAAACAAAGCAATTATACAACTGATTCATTGCAAGAATATGTCCCCCTGCTGAGGTCATTGGTTCTGAACAGAAGGAAGATAGAAGCCAAGAAAATATGGAGAACTAATGAGAAATATGGCTCACAGATAAAAACTGCAACTCCTACAATCATAACAAATCCTGAACACAAATAAAAATAAAGCATCATTGCATTACACATTCTTTAGTAGGGACAAGCTGATCTGTGGGACTCTGAGCTACTCACCTCTTCATCAGGAGGGGGCTGGGCTATTTTTGGAGACTTCCATTTTTCAGTACTATTAGCAGACATACAAAAAGTGCATAATAAATACTAGTTGAATTATTCCAGGTTTGTTTTCATCTGCTACTTGATTCCCTGAAGGATAATGAAGATATAGAAATATATAGTGATGAACAAAGAAAATGCACAAATAATGAATTAATTTAGAGCTATGCTACGATCCAGCCGAAGTACTGAAAATGAGTCCTGTGAGGGTTAGCATCTGCCTCTACAAACACGAATTTGTCCAGAGGAATGACTGGTCTAAAAGCCCTACTTCATGGCATCTTCTTGAGGTCCAGGTGGGCTGAACGTGAAGGAAATCAAGAAAACTGGAGAAGGACAAAGCTGGGAATTCAGGATATAGGAGAGTTATAGTATTAGACTACCTGGCTTCATGGTCTCAGCTCCAACGCTGATGAACTGGGAGACTTTAGGCAAGTTGCTCAGCCTTCATTTCCTCTTCTGTAAGATGGTATCTACCCCACAAGTTTTTCTCGAAAGAATCACTTGAATTCATGCCCTTATCACCATTTTTGGCACATTACAGGTGCTCCATAAATTTTAGTTATCACTCCTAATGATTTTCTAAAATAATTCTAATTTCCGCACAAGATTTTTCAATAAATATGATTTGCTGAATACATAGGTGAAGGCAAACTGTCATACAACTCTGTAAGGCCTTTTCTATAAATATACTCACAAATTAGGGCAGAAAAGTTCTCTTTCTCCTGGCTTGATCTTGTTTCAGATTATATGACCATCACACTCACACCATGGGACACTTAGTCTGGCCTGAGTGGGAAATACTCTCCTCCTACAATCAGGCTATCACACAGCCTGGCAGAGATTTAGGGTTGGTTCCTCTCTTAAAGAGAACTGTGCATGAATAAACTGGATTACTTCGCTATAATCCCAGGGGATAAGACATCCAATGAATCTATGCATTCTGTCCCACAGGCCTTGGATAGGAAGAGTACATAAGGTATTCACCTAGAGTAAAATCAGGTTGAAACAATAAAGATGTTTTATGCTTTGTGTAAACTGGTCAATGTCATGACTCTTGGAATAACAACAGTCTTGCTGACAATTTGACACACTTTCCCTTCTGGTATGTGTTGGCATAAATTGTTCCTCTCTCTGCAAGATTAACTGATACCATCTGTGAGTATTCTGGGCCCTCACTCTCAGCCTGCCTTTGAATCTACTTGTTTGTTTTCTGTACCTCTTTTCAAAGATGCAGGAATCAAGCCCTACCCTTCGTTAAAGTCCAAACGCAATGTTAGGGGCTCTGTTTCTTCCCAAGCCTTTTAACCCCTCGTGCCCGGCTCTGCATCTCAACGCAAAAACAGACCTCGGGGACATGGCCCTCCCACTGCCTGTGATAGGCTGCTTGGAATAGCAACAGCCTGTGTCACCGAAAAGGGCAAAGCCTTCGGAAATAGAAACAAAGTTGGTCAGAAATCACTTTGGCTCTGCCTGAAGTTTGTTCCTCACCTTCTTTAGCATGCGACCATGGGGAAAGTGACCACTGTTGTCACGCGGGGGAGTCGGGGTGGTCTGGTGCGCAGGGAAGGGCTGTAACTTCTACCATGGTACCTGTTGAAAACGCAGAGGGCCCCAGTCCGCTGAACCCGAAGGGGAGACCCGCTCAGACTGATGGCAGCGACAGAGCCAGCGGCGGCCGGCATCCTCCCTGGGCCAGAGGTAAAGTGAGGCAGATGGGCTGAACTCACCTCTCACCCGTGTGCGTGCGTGTGTGTTTGTGTGTGTGTGTGTGTGTGTGTGTACGCGCGCGCGGAGTGCTAGGTGCGCGGAGAGACGGGGACAGGATCTGGTGGGAGGAGTGACGAGGAGCTATAATGTGAAGATCGAAGTCCCACAAATTGCTAAGCTGGGTCCCATCGATTGTGCTGACAATGTAATGCGTAAATCTTTCTTCATTTTGCGACGACTCTCCGCCGAGATAGTCACATGTGTAAACACACGTGCACACACACACTTTATCCCTTGTCACAAATGGACAATGTGTAACAAGTGGACATTATAACCACCATTTTTTAAATCATCGTTTTAAGTAGGCTTCATGAAATTATTGGTTACATAATCAATGAACACAACTTTGTTTTTAAGTTCCCAGCATGTTTGTAATGAATTGGAGCTTTATTCTATTTGGAGCCGAAAACGACTCCTTCCTTGCTCCTGTTTTCTTTAAACACAGGCTTTTGAACTGAGGTTTAATACTTTTTCTTCCGAAGGTGAAATGTGCAGAATTTTTAATTCATTTCAGTTATCTTTGCTGCATCAAGCACTTTTCATCACTTCCACATTACAAATCCCACCAACACATTGCACTTGTAGCTGCTTCTATCTATTCATTCAATTTGTTCTCAATGAATAAAGACAAATGTAATATGAAATGAGGTCAAACACAAACAATTCTCTCCTTTCTATTGCTTTCCTCAGCTCTGCTTCCCTTAACCATGTAACACATTCTCAGGTCATACATTGGAATTTCATGAATAATCCAAAACACCAAATGATACTAAAAAGCATTCATCTTGGAATGGATCTATATACTTACTTTTGCACAGTGGGTTTGCCTGTTCTTGAAATTCAATCCACAGCCTCTCTCATGGAGGCAAGGAGTGGTACCTCCTGGGGAGCTGGGAAGCTGTATTTCTTCCTTGTCCTGCTCCTTGTCCAGCCTTCTCTTGATTTCCCACTTTGTCAGGAATGAATATCTGGGGTCACCTTTCAGTATGGCCCAGCCCTCTCTTAAGCAGATCTTTCTCTAAGTGTGTTCTCTAGCTCCTGAGTCTGAGTCTAAGGGAAACTTGCATTTGAGGGTAAAGGGAAAGAGTTACAAAGTTCTCTCTGAACTTCTGCAGGATTGAGCCGAAAGGCAAGCTGAGGCAGGGACGTCACCAAAATGGTGAGCTAAAACAGTGGCGGTGATGATGCCACAAAGAAGATGAAAAGAAACTGTTTCCTGGAGGGACCTCCACGGTAACAATCAAAAATTGACTATTTAATTTTGATATGGTTTTGAAAGCCCAGTGTACTCTGAAGAGGTTAAATCACACAGGTTCACAGTTAACCCGAGGGAAGGGAAGATGTGTGTATTTGCAAAAGTTACATATATGCACAAAATTTAAAGTGCAACTGTTTATGTTGTTGAAAATAAATGATAAATGAATAAATATTATAAATTATCTCTTAAATAAAAAATTATCTCTAAAAATAAAATATTATAAGTTATGTAGAAGAAGAAGCCTAAATGATTCCCTAAAAGTTTAAGCAGATCCAGCTTTGATTTGTGCTGTATACAGTTTATATTTAGATGAATCCAAACATTTAATTATGACTTTTGTAATTTTTCCAAATTGTAAACATCTCTTGGTACCCAAAGGCAATTATACATGTGTATGTATATAGTGAATGCATAGTACAAACTCACTCTGTGGTTTTGACAAGTTATTTAACCTCGGATATTAGGATTATATTTTAGACTGATGAAGATGTTGAGGTTCAGTGAAATAATATTTGACAAATATTCCTTTGACTTTATATTTTTAAACTTCCACAGTTTCATTCAGGGCATTTAAAAATATGCTTCATAGCCCTGGCCTGTTTGGCTCAGAGGTTAGAACTTCGGCCCGCGGACCGGAGAGTCCTGGGTTCGGTTCCCGCTAAGGGCATGTACCTAGGTTGCAGTTTGTCCCCGGCCCCGGTTGGGGTCGTGTGGGTGGTAACCACTCGATGGCTCTCTCTCACGTTGATGTTTCTCTCTCTCACTTCTTCCGTCTCTCCCTCCCACTCAATTTGAAGATAAATGCAAAAAAATAAGTGTCCTCTGGTAAGGATAAAAAAAATATATGTTTCATAATTATCATATTATTCCTGCATTTGAAGGTAGCAAGTTTTTCTCTAGTTCTAGATGGAACAATTAAAGCACAAAGAGGAATGAGTTATAAGCTCAGGAGAAGGTAATTAAATCATATGAGATACTGAAAAATTAAACAAAACAGAAGTCCTAAGCTCTGTGACTGCACCCCCTTAACACTATCACACACAGTGAAAAATGTTGGCAGCTCTTCCTTGATCAACCCTCTTAAACTGGAAAGAATGCTTTGTTTCAATGACTAGAAATTAATAAACTTAAATTCATTTTCAAAAATTTATGACTCAAAGTGGGTACACTTTTAATAAAATCTTCAGTGTTCATAGAGATGTCATAATTGACTTTATAGGGCAGAGTTGAGCTCAATTTGAAATCCTGGTGCCTAGAGCCAACAACAGATATAGGTGAAGTGAGAAGCGTGGCCTATTGGAACATCTCACCCAGGAAGGTCATGAGGCCAGAAGATGTGTAGTTGGCCCAGGTTCACGGGGTAACTGGTGCAAAGCGACCCTGGCCACCTCTGGCCTAAGCCTAATGCCTGCCCCTCTATCTCAGACACTGGCTCTCCCATCTAATTTCATGATTCAAGCACTTGGCTAGGGTGAAGGTTTCCTTAAGCCCCTCTTACCCCACCAGCACTGCTTTTTCTTCTTGGATCTTTCCTAAAGTTCAGAAACCAAGAACGATATTCACTGTATAAGTGCACGTTCTCAGTACTGCAGGTCCAGCTGCCGATGTACTAGAACCCAGATCACTAGAACTGGACTCACTGATCCAGCAGAAAGGGCTGCACTTCCTGTTCTCTATGACCCTTCTAAATCCCAGATGCCACAGTCTGAGTTTTAATAAATGCACACTTCTGCTAATCCGATAAATATTCTCAGGTATTCTCAAATACTTTTAAAGCTGTGAACTTGCTACAGATGGAAGCTGAGTAGGTGGTCATTACATAGGACAGGTAGCCATGGACCACTCTAGTGTAAAGAAGGGGGTGGAGAAAGGACGGCCCTGGTTCCAGGCTCCCTTGACTGAGGGTTAATACAATTCAAGAAAGAATATCCAAAGAGACAAAAATCTACTCCCTCCCAGATCCCTCCCATTCCTTATGGCCCTGAGCAGGAAGGCTGGTTGGGGATCACTCTGAGCAAACCACAGGTCCATGACTACTCTGGTAGGCAGGTCATGATTTTATGGTTGGGGTATATTTACTGGGCCCCTACTGAGTATTGGGTTCCCAGATTCGGCTAAACCTGTCCCCCTTGAATTCGGCGAGGCCCAGCTTTCTCAGGCTTCCTTGGGCGGCCCAAGGGAAAGTCCACTGCAAGACTGAGGAGACTTTGGGGAATAAGCTTACCCCCAGGGAAGAGAGAGTCAGGCCAGCCAACTTGACCTAACAAGTGTGAGTGGAACAGTTCCAACAACAGACGGATCCCTTTGGGAAGACCCAGGTCGGGGCCATTCCCAATGGTCCAGGCTTTCCATGTGTTAAACAGGGAAGTGACAAAACCCATGACAAAAATGACTGTGTTTTAAAAATATGTATTTAGCCCAGCTGGTGTGGCTCAGTGGTTGAGCGTTGACCCATGCACCAAGAGGTTGCCGGTTTGATTCCCAGTCAGGGCACATGCCCAGATTGTGGACCAAATCCCCAGGGTGGGGCATGCAGGAGGTGGCCAGTCGATGTTCTCTCTCATCAATGTTTCTCTCTCTCTCTCCCTCTCCCGTCCTCTCTCTAAAATCAATAAAGGAAAATAATTTTTAAATGTGTATTTAGCAAATGAATGTCTGATAACAACAACAACAATTTTTGTGTAGCTAGACATTCCTGAGGACGTGACAGTATTTATAGACATGTGAATCTATGAGGGGCTCAGACTCTTTTTTTTTAAATCCTCGCCTGAGAATATTTTTTTCCATTTATCTTCAGAAAGAGTGAGAGAGGGGAGAGGGGGAGAGACATCAGTGTGAGAGAGAGACATCGATTGGTTGACTCCTGCACAGGGCCAGGGACTGAACCGCAGGTCTACGCTCTAACCCCTGAGCCAAACTGGCCAGGGCAGACTCTTTTGTGTGGAAATGAGACCAGATTTAAAGATAACCATCTCCCCTTTCACTTCAGTCACTCACCTCTCTCTGACTGTACGTTTAATCTCACTTGGAAATCACATCAAAAGTCTAAACTTGAGGCTTTTTGTGACTGTAAGGCCTGGGCTAATGGCTTCTCCAAGATCTAGGAGAGGAGAAGGCTCTAAACCAGTGGTTCTCAACCTTCCTAATGCCGCAACCCTTTAATACAGTTCTTCGTGTTGTGATGACCCCCAACCATAAAATTATTTTTGTTGCTACTTCATAACTGTAATTTTGCTACTGTTGTGTCTTAGTTGACCCCTATGAAAGGGTCGTTGCCACCCACAGTTTGAGAACCGCTGCTAAACAAACGTGGTAAGAACTGTTTCAGGACAAACTCTGGATGGTGTTTGCCTCACCCAGATCTTTCTCTCTTTCTCTCTCTGTCTCTGTGTGTGTGTGTGTGTGTCTCTCTCTCTCACCCTCTCTGAGAATGAGTGGCATTTATTTGCACGGAATTAAACCCCCAAGTTTCCAAGGTCTCCTCTCCCTCCATCCTGACATGAAAGAAACCCAGCTGTGTCCTCAGCAGGGCTGGGATTAAAGCCCTTGCCCAGCGGTTTTGTTCCATATTTGCACAGTCCAGCCCAGCATCAGGCTGGCTTAGCTTGTGTTCCCAGCTGCAGTCCATCAGCCCATTGCCTGTGGGGTCCACATGGCATGGGCCATGCAGCTT